TGAACATTCGCTCATGGTGAGCTACTGAAGAAAGCAACAGAGAGAGCTCGCACACCTGAACTGTTGGCACTGGCATGGGGTTTTGGTGTTATGCTTCACACAATGCAAGATAGCAAACACCATGCAACATAATTACATGAACTGCAATATGATGCGATGGACGATATGCTCTTTTGGAGAAATGTGTGCATGCTGCATACATTACATGCACCCGAAAAGCCTACATGTTCCAAGTCCTATGTATATGAAGGGCTCCTTGGGTGGAGCTTGGGGGGAGCCCTGAGGCTTCCACGAAGGCGCTGGAACCCCGAGCCTTCCTGGAAGCCGTTGAATCCCAAGAGCCCCCGAACAAAGCTCCCAAAACATGCCAAGTGGACCAAGATCTGTCGCCCCAACATGGCAGCCAACATCCCCCAAACCTAAATGCCCATACCACTTCGACGCAGCAAAGGGCAGCGTCACCCGACGAAACATACCCTAAAGCCATCAAGCCCTTCTCCGCCTGAATTCCCTGAAAGCCCGCAAGCTGTCGTGCACATCTCCCCGAGACTTTTGCCTGACTCTTGCCTTCCAAGCGTCTCGGCCTCTTCCGGATCCTCTGGCGGCTCCTCCGAAGCCTTCCTGGCCGCCTCTACACGGAGCGTGGCCTCGCAAAGGCCCCCCCCCCAAACAGCGACCATCATAACGTGGGCGAGTATTCCTCTGGTACCGAAGGCCTCTTGGAGCCGCAGGGCGCGCTCCTTGAGCCGGCGCTCCTGTAGGAGGCAGAGGGGAGAAACAAAAAAGAAGGGAGGCAAGGAGGACTGGAGAAAAATCCGAGGGAGAAGGAGAGTTGTCCCGCGCCTTCTCCTGCAGCCTCCGCTGCCGCTCCTGTTGGCGCCGCACCTCCCGACCGTGTTTGGCCACAGCCGGCCAGGTCAGTGCTCCGGGGGTGCGGACCGGCATCTCCATGGAGTTGTTCTCATACCTTCAGCTCCGCAAAAACCGAACCGAAGGACCTGAGGCTCTTCGATTGAGGCCAGATGCTTGTCGTAGACATGGAGGAAGAACTCCTCCTCCTGATACTTCGTGTCGAAGTCCACACTGTACACCTGCAGCGCCAGAAGGGATTTCTTGCTTGCTGCCTCTTGCCCTCCCCACCTCGATGGTGTAGTTGGTGGGGTTGCACAGGAAGAGTTCCTGCATACAGTCCTCCGTGCCCGGCAGCACCGGACCCAGCTCGAAGGTGGTCGAAGGCTCCACATTCACCCTCAAGCCGTCACCACATCCTCTCATGTGCAGCATCTTTCCTGGGATCACCGTGCAGAAGTGCAGTGCTGGACGCGAGGGGAATGGCTGAGCAAACGCGAAACGCATGTGGGACAAGCTTCTCATGGGGTTGTCCATGATCCGGAGGGCCACCTTCTGGTTGTAAGAGCGCGATGATGTCGGCGTGAAGCTCACCGTCACCAGCTGAGACTCTCCAGGAGCAACCCTGCGCGAGGGCCCTAAACCCCAGCAGTTTTAAGCAGTTCTAAGCAAACTCAAACCCCCCCCCCCCCAGCCTTCCGGAGCGAGGGCTCAGGGAGTATGCAAACTCCATGGGCTTCCCGGGCTTCGCCGTCGGGGCCTTGTAATCCCAGCCTCAGTGTCTTGCAGTGACGAATATAGCCCCCCCCGACTGGAGCAGAGCCGTGGCCCCAGCTGGCCATCACTGTTTTGGCGTTGCGAAGCCTGCGACTGCAGACATCCAGCCACAAGTATCTTCGCGCTCAGAGTCAGGCCGAGCATGAATTCAGCCCAGAGACTTGATGGTGATCCTCTTCACCTGTCCAACGACCACGTGCCCGAAGTCGATGGAGTCGGAAGACAGCTCCAGGTCAGGCCGCACAAATTCACTCATCAGCTTCACCTGCAGGCCAAACCAAACAGACATTGCAAATCTAGAACCTGTGTTGCTGCCCTCATGGATATTCCTGTGAGGGGTGTGGTCATAACACCACTCGATGCTTTGGTTCTTGGACCTCGTAGGATGGCCCACCCCGTACCGGAATGATCCAGTTCAGCTCCTGCTTGCCCTCCTCACCGGTCCTCCGGAGACGCTCAGAAAGCGAGCTTCTCGCAAGGCAAGAAGGTTACAACCGGCTACAGTTCGACTCACAGCCCATCCTGTCGCGGAAGCAGGTGAGCTCCAGCTTCACTTGTTTGCCGGGCGGTAGTTTGCTCACCTTCCGAGAATTTCATGAGTACTCGGTGTCTCGTGGCCGGGAAAGCTTTGCAGGCCTTCTCTGGGCTTATCTGGAAGCCTTTCTGCATCAATAGCCGCTTGTTGATGTTAAAGGACACGTTCTCGTGGAAGCAGTTGTATACCGAGATCACCTGCCAGTGTAAAGGCAAAGCCTGCTGTTCCCGGAGTCCGACACTGCTCCCGCCTTCTTGCCGGAGTGGCCAAGGACAATGTGCCCGAAGTTGCATTCGTAATAGGCTGCTGTGATGTGCGTCACTTCCAACATCGGGCGCCGCTCGCCGCGGCCCCTTGCCGAGCCTGTCGTTGAGAAGCTCAGTCCCCCATCAATGCTGCGCAGCAACTTGCACCCCACGACAACAGGCCTCTCCCCGATCCCTTGCCGAAGGTGTCCTGTTTTCAACTGCCCCACCCTCGTGCTTGAAGGTCACTGTCAAATTGGGGTTTGGGGAGGGCGGGCTGGATACACTGAACTTTTTGCTCCACCCTGTCCTTGCTTTCCTTGTTGCACTTCTCCAGGTGCTTCTCCCACAGCTCCTAACGGGTCAGATGCCAACAGCACTCCGACTCCCCGTCTGAGCGCGGACCCAGCTGCACAGATTGAAGTTGAATCCCAATTCCCAACGCTCAGCTCAAATGCGCCGGGACAGCACTCGCTCACCGAGGTCTACGTTCCTTCTCTTTCGCCAGAAGCGACTGGCAGATGAAGTGGCGGTCAACCTGGCCATGCGTATGTCCTGAGGCGACCCAAACCCCGTTCACTCTGCATCCAGCCTCGAACTCCACCACCTGGTGCAAGGGAGAAAGCAAAGCTGCCATGTGCCAGTCCCCTCCTCACCCAGCCCGTAGAACACCGCCCCAGGCGCCTGTGGCTCTGGCTGCCACTCCGCGAGGCTCGCAGCAGAGTCGTTTGGAGAGATCTCCGTGCTGTGCATGCTGGAGGTGGACGAGACCTGAAGCTGCAGGATGGCGGAACTCTGCTGCATAGTCCAAAGGCAAGCCAAGCCACACAGGCGGCTTGAGGAGGAGGTCCATTCTCTCTGAGCCGCTGCAGTGCCAACTCCTTGTTCGTCTGATGCTCTTGCCTTGGTTGCTGGGAGGCCCCAGGTTTGCGAGAAAGACAGTTGACACCTACGGAGTTGCCAAGTAGCTCATTGCTGCGCTCCAGGCCCTTGAAGACGTCAGGATTGCTGCCCTGCAAGAGCAGGATCCCCGGAAAGATCCCATGTCCTCACAGGATCTCACAGGCGACAAATTCAGGTTCTGACCCCACGGAACCGAGGGAGGCCTCGGACGTTAATTCGCTGCCGCTCGAAGTGGGCAACTTCCAGCAGTGCGACTTCGTTCACCTCGTCCGGAATACCTTGCGGCAAGGGCGGCGAAGCACAACGCGTCATCCGATCCAAACGTCTTGCGAATGCTTACGGCATTCAAAACGGCAAGGCAGCTCTGACTCGGAAACTTGAAAACCAGCTCAGCTCTGCCTGTACGGAATCGGATCGTAATTCGCTCCTGCTTGCAGAGAAGGCGATGTACTCTCAGCACGACTTCAATCATTCTTCAAACCCCATCCAAACACACCCGAGCATCTCCTTGTCGCCAGGATTGATTTGGCCAGAGACAGGCCAACAGTCGAGCACCGGAGGACGTGAGAGAGCGCAAAGGTTCCAATTGAATTGAAAGGCGACCTGCGCAAGCTTTCGCGAGTCCTGACAGTTTGTCCGTGCTGTCGAACTTGCCTTGCCGGTGTTTGCGAGGACTATCTCCCGCTCTTGCACCTGACTAGAGTCTAGAGCTGACCACTCGATGAGATTCGCTGCTATCCCCCATCAGTCGACCGCACCTCCGTGTACGGAATCTCGCCGAAGTCGAGCTCCGTCTTGTCGAGGCGGAAGTCCAGTCGGGATGCCTGACCCTTCAGCGTCACCTCGTACCTTCAGCTTCGGGCTTCGATTTGCTTTTTTCGGGAAAGCGGCGCAGCTGCTGACCAAAGACAGGCAGCCGTTTTTTACAGGCCGAGCGACTCCGGGCCACCCTCCGTCTGACAGACGGCCAAGCAGTCGAACTTCTGGTTCTTCATGCCAAAGTACGTGAAGGTGACATCCTGCCGGCGGAAACTCGGGTCTCAGTGCCTGCCAGGAGCCCGGCAGCACGCCCCTCCTGCGTTTGGCCCGGCTCCAAGACACCCATGATCGGCAGGATGTCAAAGATCTGATTGATGTCCTCGGAAAAAGATGAAAGAACAGGGGAAAAGGATGCACTTCTTCGAGTGGACTTCCCAGTTAAGGGGCCACTACCGGGCGCTGCTTCTGCTTGGGGAGGAGCGTGCCCTGCATTTCGGCCACTTGCGACAGGCGCGGCAGGCTGGACATCTCCAGATTCCTCAGCAGGCTTCAGGAGCACGGCTGCACCTGCGAGTGCAGGGGCCAAGTGGCGGATCGGCGTTGGAGCGGATGGAAGCCGTCGGTTTCGGCGGAAATCCTGCCCATCACGCCCCCCATCATGAGGCTCTCGTGCAACAGTGTGTGACTTCGCTTCTGCGTCCTGAACTGAAGGAGTTCGCAGCCGAGTTCGCCGTGCTCTGCATCACAACCGAAGCCCTTTGTCCGCCGCTTACATCATCTTCGCTCATCTCCTAGGTGCTCTGCAGCAACAGACAAGCTTCGGAGTTGAGAGACGCAGGCTCCGAGTTCAGCCGCTTCTGATGATCAAGTCGGGCGGCTGCTTCTTCCACGAAGGACCACTGGAAATTCACGGGAAGAGCATTGGGGTTGGCCATGGTGATGGTGAGCTGCTTGCTCGTCTCATTGAGGACCTTGGCTATCGGCTGTCGTAAGCCGCCCAGAAATGCTAGGCCCGAAGCCCTAAACTAAAGGAAAAAAACTAAAGGAAAAACAGGGACCGCCGAGCTTCGGAGCCGAAATCCAACTTGTTGTTGCCTCGGAGGCGAAGCGAAGCTCGATTTTTCTCATGCCCGAAACTGCGCATTTTCCATGCCCTAAAGCCCTAAAGGTTTAGGGTTTACGCTCTCACACAGGGTTTACGCTCTCGCAACTCGGACTCTGCCAGGCGAGGTCTCAACGCGCATGTCGGACTAGCAGCGGCAGCCAGCATTGTAGCCACCGACAGAATTCAACCGCCCCAGTGATGTCATGTGACAGCCCCTATACAGTCTTTTCGGCAACTCAAAAACAGTGCCATGAGAGCTTTACAGTTGGACTGTTGATGATCCAACTCGAACGCTTCAGACTCACTCGACGCTTCGTGCTTCAACTGTCGCAGGTGTTTAGGGGGGCAGGCCGATTCAAGATGTCCGGCAGCGATACCATCGCAGCACGAATCAGAGCTTGTCGCGGGCATGCTCATGGACGAACGACTGTGGCCCGTCTGACCTCTGCTCTGCGAAAACCCCCACATCTACGTGGACGACGCCAGCAGGCGCTACGGAAGCGCGTTCTGGGGCACAGCCACACGATAACGTGGACACTAGACACCACAGACCGTCGAACACGCACATGATACCTTCCTCGCACTCAGCTGTGACAGCTGAAAGCAACAAACCCCGAGGCAAGGGGTCAGTGCCTGCGCACCGTCATGATGTTACTTGTGGCTAATGCGGCTGTGCTGCTGAGCGTGAGATTTGGGAAGATGACTTCACCAACCAGATTTACATGATCCCGCTGCGGGTGGTCCTTGAAAGGCTTGTTTTTTTTCGACAGCGTTCCGAGGCATTGTGTAACACCTGTGTAACACTCACTACGGAGACCTTCAATACATAGGTCCTGGTACACGATTGTCAGCTTCTGCTTCACGGTGCCACAAACGCGATCCACTTTGTAGGCCGGATCGAACTCCACGCGAATCCTTAAGGGGCCGTTTCATGACATGTTCTGTCTCATCAGAATGGCTCCCTGCCGGGCTGAGCGTCTCCAACGTCTCACCAGACCGCAGGTAGCACGTGTCGATGTTGACGTAGAAAGGCCTAACGCGAGGATGACACATGAAAGCCCTAAAAGGCACAGCGCATCCTCTGCCAAGCAGCGGTTGAACCTTGATGAAGAAGCGAACCTGGACCAGGCGCAAGCGCATCAATAGGAACTCGACTCTCCAAAAGCTGACTCTGACTCCACATCCGTCCACTGTTTTCCTCGCGCCCGCTGCCCGGAAGCACCTCACCCGCCCTCCTCCCTACACTGCGGGTTGTCGGGCCCAGCCCAAGCCCACGGCGGTGCCAAATTCGGCACTCCGCTTGGGCGATTGGGCGCTTGGAAGTCGAAGGAGCGTCTTACCGAACGTGGATGTTCGCTGTGCGCTATCCGGGAACCGCAGAGCTCCATGGTTTCTGTCGCGGGCTCAGCTTGCAGCAACTTTCTCTTCGACAGTGTCTTCCTGTGGGTTCTTGTTAGGGGATTCAATTTTAAGTTACCATAAGAGGGAAGCCCCATTGTTTACTATAGATCCCTATTCTAGTCATTTAAATTAACTCCTTTGACTAGAACCCAGTCCTCTTTGTCCTCATCCTCCGTGAAGTCTTGCCAAGGCCCCCGAGCGGGGCCTCCCTTACCCAAAGGGTTCGTGTAGGGTGACCAGGGGCCGTGGTTCAACGGGTAGCCTCGGCTCTTGTGCGTCCAGGCAGGATAGACTAGCCCAAAGCCTCTTTGATCTTAAAGGGCCTCCACATGAATCAAAAATTTAATTCACTTCACTTGACCAGGGGCCGTTGTGCATCCGCAGCTTCGGGGTCCAGAGGCCATTGCGGGGCCGCTGCTTCCGCTCCCAGTTCAGGTGCTCAGCCAAGCCAGTGCGCTCCAGAATGGCATCGAACCTGACGAGTCCAAATACCCGAAAAGCTCAAGCCCTACGCCCAAAATACCCTAAATCCTTGTAACCCTCAACCCCAAGCCCAAGGACCCCTCAAACTAACTAACCCCCTGGGCCTGTCACGGACCTTCTCTCGGGAGCCCAAGCGTCGCTCTGCGAAGCGCAGGGCCCGGTGGAGCTTCCTCAGAAGTGAAGAAAAAAGCTCCCAAAATGGGACGTTGCAGAAAAGCAAGGGGCCGTGTCATCACCATAAGAGTATCAGTAGAGTATCAGCACAATCGTCATCATGTCATGCTTACTGTTCTTCGTCAGAAGCAGCCCGACCACCACCACCGCCACCGCCAACACCCGTACCATCACAACCACCGCCACAGCATCATGCTAGTAGCACCAGCATCATGGTCGGCATCAGATCGTAGCAACGCCAAGCAGGTCCGGATTCCCATGTGCCTGTGTGCCGAGCAGCCACCCAAGGGCCAAAAGCTCCGGCCTATCTCCGACTATCTGTTGGGCTTCCTCGGTACCTTGGGGCGCCAACTCTCCACAGGGAATCGTGAGGGGCGGGAGGCCTGCCGCCAAGGGGCCAAACAAGTTCTCTATGGCTTCGAAAGCCAACTCGAATTTTCGAGACTTGCGCCTCGAGGCAGAGGCCATGAAGGCAACCCCTAGCAACAACAGCTTCTTGGTTAGCCGAGTCGCTGGTTCTCCTCTAGCAGAAGGTAGGGCGCCTTCCTCACGGCCTTCTGGGCTCCCTCCTGCCATCCAGGCTTTCTGATTTTTGCAGCACTCCATGATGGAATCCGGCCTTTCCCAGGAGCTGGCGAAGGGTTCCCAGCCGGCCCAAGAAGTTCTCACCTGAGGGTCGTCTTGGGGCTTGGGACAAAACCTCGGGTTTAGGTAGGTTTCATTCCAAGCCACCATACCACTTCAGCAGCAGCGGCTCCTGGGCTATGGCTTTGTGCGCCTGCGGGGCAGATCCGGCTCTGCTGGAGTCGGACGCAGACGCGCGAACGGGAAATTGCCTCCTCCAGGTTCCCGAAGATGGCGACCAGCACCTTTTTTTTTTCCCAGGGCTCCGTAATCCCAGCAGGAAGAGACGGCTCAGCGCTTCAGCCACCGACAGCCCAAACAGTCCACAGCCAAGGGCAGCTGAGGCACGGGGTAACCTGCCAAGAATGACGAGACTGCTCTACGACACTGGCTGAGGAGGTCGCTTCTAGCACAATCGGACAACTCTTCTTGGTGCCTCCTGGCACTGCAGAGACGTAGGGAGAGCGAGCCACACGGTCCATGGCCTCTTTGGCAACGGCCATGGCTGCCTCCGTGCTGCCCATTACCGCGGTCATGTCGCCCATCGCCTCGAAACAAGACTAACTACTACTGCGTTCCAGAGTCTCGGACTTCTCTCTGTGTCTGCTTCTGGCAATGGGTTGAAAGCTGGACCGCATGGTCTCTGCTCGGTCTGGAAAAGACACCTATCCGGAAGCACTCTGATACAAGCATGCTCATAGGCTTTTATGCATGTATACGAATAAGTCTGAATATGTGCACACATTATTTGCAAAAGCACGGCATGCACGCGTGTAGGTGGAGAGTGGCAACGTCTAAGCAGCCACCTCATAAATCAACGTCCATCGAAGTGAAAGCGAAAGGCAGTGGAAACTGCGAGAATCCGCGAGAAGAGACCACACCACGGAAAGCAGCGCAGTGCACCGAGCCTTGTAGAAGTCGCCCACAGGCAGATTGGTCAGCTGAGGATACTTGGCGATGACTTCTCGCAGCCGACTCCGGGATCCTTGGATGTCCAACATGCTTTCCGTCCTCACAAAGGCCACTGCAGGCCTCAGAACATGTTCCCTGCTCAGTGTCCCAGCACGTTGATGAGCGCCGGGAGCGTTGCCCGCATGAGCTTCGAGTTCTTCGTGAGGAGGTATGGGCATTCGAAGACCGCTTCCTTCGCCGCCTGCAGCGTTCGGTTCCGTGGCCCTCACTTGACCTGGCAGGGCCTGACGGCCTGGCCTCCTCCCCCAAGTAGATGCTTAGGAGGTGGAGGGCGTTCCGAGCAGTTCGCCGAGGCATTCGGAGGATCGAGGGCTCATCCTAAAGAGACGATGAGCATCTCACGGTGTGCACAAGGGGCCCATCGGCCCACCTAATCCAAAGAACGGTGCACCCGTCCTCTATCAGCTGGTTGACGAGTTCCGGGCTTTGGAAGATGTCTACCATATCCTCCCATCGGCGGATAAGGATGTGCTCCTGAGAAGGCTCATCGGAGCGTCACTTCTGCAGTGAGTCCCTCAACCCTTTCTCCTCCGTGTTGACTCGAGGAAACGTCCGCTGGAAGATATCAAGGGCAAAGTCAGCTTCTTTGGGCGGTGCTCGCCGAAAACCTGCCCAAATCAACTCCACACCACGCCACCAAAAGGCAACAAAGCATCGCCAGGTAGATAACAGCACCCGACCCCGTTAAAAGAAAGAGTAAAAAAAAGGTACTGGCCCCAGGCCCACCAACGACCCCGCGCCTGTTTCCGGGTCTCGCAGCTTTGTGGTCCTCTGCCGCATTGCCAGCGGGGCCGGAGGGGGCAGCTTGATGCCCCCAGGCAGCATCAGCGCCAGGCCATTCCGCACACAGAGCGCCAGGAGAAGCGCGGCCAGCTGCCAGCTCCTTCTGGCCAGGGAGAATCGGCGCCTTGCAGAGTCATCTGCTTGTGAAGTCAGGCATCCGCCCCGCGAATGCGCTGACAGCGCCGGGCTCATCTTGCCACCATTGCAGAACACCGGTGAGAGGACCTCCTACCTGAACCGATGGTCCAAGCCATCTAGAACCACGATGGGCGGCGGAAAGCTCCAACTCAGAGAGATTCACTTATGAACGCTTTAAGGTGCTAGTTCCTTCTGACCTGCTGGACAAACCCTGGAATCCCGTGCCATCGCCTCCAACGGAGAGATGTTCTTGAGCACCTGGCGGAGGGACCCTCGGTCGACCCTTCAGCTTGGGGGAAGTCGGGCGAATGGGGCGGCACAGTACAATCTGGCAGAGGTGCCAACGGCTCGGAGAGCGGGTGCAGCGGGCAGTTGCGCTCCCACAGATATCCTGACATGCGAGAGCACCCCGCTCACCCAACATTTGCCAAAACAAGGGCAGAAAGCGCCAACAAAATCACCAATGGCAGCGAAGCGATTGTTCAAAGGCTGTGCTCATCCATCTGACAACCGAGGCACTGAAGGAAACGGACGTGGCGGACAGCTCCAACAGTGGAAGCACCTCGCCGAGAAAACGTCCAAAGCAGACTTGAGGGGGCCTGCTGGGTGAAAGTCGAAAGAAGTCGGGGAACGACGCCCGCAAGCCGAAAACTCCATCGACGGGCATCTCAAAACACCCCTGCTGGTGGCTTGCTTGCAAAGGCACAAAATTTCCTCGAAGCTCGGTCTTGTAGATGGCATTGCCCTTCCGGTCGTTGCCGCAGAGCCTCGGCGCTCAGCTGAAAAAACGCATCTGGGGAATGCATCGAAGCTGCGCGCTAAAGGCTTGTAACACTTACTACTATTACTATTATTATTGTTATTATTATTATTACCATCATTGTCATTATCCTTATTATTACTATTACTATTATTATGGGCTATCGGCTTTTTCTTCCGGGGGGGTTTAGGAAGCTGCATTTGGTTTTTTGAGCCTCGGGACTCGGTGCAGACCAAGGTGTCCGAGAGCGCGCCAGGCTTCGGGCTCGAGGCGTTGAAGACGAAGCGAAAGGCGCATTTCCCATCCAAAGTCCTCAGAAGACTCTCGGAACTCCCTCGGCACTAGGCGAAGGGGCCTGCTCACTGCACCGGCTATTGCAGGGACAAAGAAGTGGCCCCACGGAACCAACCAACCCAATCCCACTTCTCCACACCCTTCATCCCAAGAAAGTAGAACCTGATCCGAGGAGAGCCTTTGCAGGTTTGCAGTTATAATGCCCCTATACTTCCTCGCAGATCCCCCTGTTTTGTTGCCACGGCAAGCAGACTTGCAAACCATGATTTCATGGGGATTCACCCTCCGTCAAGAGGCGGGTGAAACAAATCCAACAGGTCACTGGGCTCTAGATGCCCGAGGGAGTCGCCGGAATCACTCGCAGCATCGCTATCGTGCAGATGGCTTCTAGCGGCATCCACAGATCCGGCTACAAGCTTAGCAAAAGCAAAGAAATCTGGCGGGTCCCCCAGATCTTGGTCAAGAAAGTCTCCACCACATGCGGGAGCTTCGCTGTGCACCCTGGAGGCCTCGATGACGGTGGACTGCGACTGCGGATCCGGATCCTCGGCTTCCCAAGTCGACCGCTTAGCCTTGGAGCTCTGCACGTTGGCAAAGAGCACGCTCATCCCCGCCGAGAAATCCGAGCGCAGCGCGGAACCGGGAGTTGAGACCGCAGCTGACTTTGGCTGCGGCTTCGGCAGTCGCGCTCGCTTGTGGAAGAGATGGCTGAAGGCCGACTCCAGGTCGGTGGAGGGAGGTTTCGGTGGCCCCCGTACGGGCACCCCCTCCTCCTCCTTAGGCTTCGGCTTCCGCGCAAAGAGCAGGTCCAGCTCCTCCTCCTCCGCTGCAGAGGCTCTGGGAGGGCGGCTCTTTGCCAGTGGCGCGAAGAGGTCATTCAAGCCGTCTTCGATGCCGATCTCCGCACTGCTGCCCTGACTCGGGACCTCTTTCGTAGCTTTGGAACTCCGAGCCGGCGAGGCTTCGCCGGCTCCCGGGTTCTCCGAGGTCTCGGAGGTCTCGGCGGCCTCGGCCGGTTGCGGCTTGCCGAGCATGGCTCCCAAGGCCTCGGTGTCGGCCTGATAGGCTTGATAGGCCGCCGAGCCCCACCGTGACTTCACCGTCTTCTCCCAGCACTTGGGGCAACATCTGCGAAGCAGCCATTGAAAAAGACAGGGGATGCAGATCAAAGAGGGTAGCCCGACCACAATCCACAGAATCAGCTCCATCGTCTCCAGGTTGCTCCCCGGCAAAGCCACGCAACGAGCTTCGCCCTCTTCCATCCGGCACCGGGTGTTCAGAGGACAAAGCTTCTCGCATTCCGACCCGGTCTCCCCAAGTGCACCCCTTTCGGACAGAATGGCCGAGACAAGGACCGCGACCAAGGCAACGTAGCCGGCCACGAAGCACACGACGAGGCAGACCCGGAGCCGACTGTAGAAGCGCGTCTTCTTCCTTTTGGACGGCTCCACCGCCCGAATGGCACGGGCGGCCTCTTCCTGTGCCTGTCTCCAGTCCTTGTAGGAGTCTGCCTGTGCCCTTGCTGGCTGCAGCGACCTCTCACTGACACGCTGCGACTTGGGGCTGTCATTAGACCTTCGCGAGTGTCGCGAAGGACGAGAGGGTCTCGGCGGACTCGCTTGCGAAGGCCGGGCGGGACGCGCCAAGGTGTCGAAAGTGTCATCATCGACAGGATCACTCCAGTCTCGGCCGGATGGCTTCGGCATGACCCAAGTGCTTCCATGGCTGGGTGCCCAACTCTCCCTACCCTTCCCGGCCTGGTCGCCACAGATGCCGACGGAGCAAAAAGACAAGCCAAGAGCACAAAAGAGGTCTTGCACCGGGCGTGCCTTTCGGTACGTGCAGCCGAGTTGCACGGTGTCCGGGACTACCGAGAAGATTCGAGCATCGCCTGCGCATAAAAGCAAGCAACACATGAGATGGATGCAGTGCAAGGGTCCCGCGCTCTTAGAGGTCGTGCTTAAGCCACTCGCCAATATCACCCGAATCACCGAAAACCAGCCACCATGTCCACACCCTCCCACAGACCTCATATAAAATCCGACACACTGCCGTCTCTGTGTAACAGATGTCACACAAGGAACCGATTAAACATTGTGAAGTGAAGCAAAACAGCCTTACCTTATGGTAATGTTCCGCCTTCTTCCGCCGGCTTGTCCTTCGTTGGTGTCTTTCGGTCCTTCTTCTTGGTTTCTTCTGACCTGCGACACAGAAGACCGAGTGTCGCATATGACTCGTATGACCTGGTCGACAAAACCTCCTTCTCGCCGAGCAGCTCGAGCGTCCAAACTAGCTTTCGCGGTTGGCGCCCGCGATTTTCGATCACCACCTCCCTCGAGTGCGTCTGAGTCGTGTACTGCGTACCGAAGTCGATGAGCTCGAGCCTCAGTCTTGCCCTTTCTGTCGGGCCTGAAGACTACAGTTGAGGCCGTTTTCAAATCTCAACAGCGTTCAAATTTCATCAAGCAGCGACTCCTTGCAGGTCACAGGCGTGCCAATCCCTTTGGCACGTACCGTCACCGCGACGTCGTTACTCTCGTGCACGATCACCTGGCTTGCCGCTGTGTTCGTACGCAACGATCAGGCGAATATCATTGCAGTCCAGCGGCATGCGCGATGTCTGTCATCTTGGCCACTTCGTCAATGGTCAGCGTCATGTACCTTATATCTTAGGCGCCAGCAAGCAACCGGCGGCTGTTGGAAAGCTGCAGGCAAAAGGCAGGTATGCGGACTCGTGGGGTTGCAGCTCCATGGCCTTCGGAGACAACGTCCAGAGCGAGTTCCGGGTCTTCATGATGCAGCGAACCTTGGATTCAAAGCTGCACCTGTCACGCAGAGCCATAAGCATGCCATACTCGAAGCAGCCTCATTCCTCACGAAAACCATAACATCTTCCGCCACGCCGACACCGTCATTATCACTACAACTGCCACCACTCAACATCAGAATCATGATCTGCATTGCATCATCCTCATAAGGATCAAAGCCATCATGCCCTACCATCATCACCACCAATATCAGCATCAAAAAGTCAGGATCATCTTTCCTCCACCGCAAATTCGGCTTTATATCTATCAACCCCTTAACCTTCGGAAGCAGCGACTCGACCCTCAAGAAAGGGGGTTTTGTGCATGGGCGTCAACAACCGCTTGTGCCAGGCATCCGACGCTGGGATCACGGAGTTGTTGCTGACCAAGACAGACCGCGTGATGGGCTCCAAGCAATGGGAATTGCCCCAATCCACGACGCTTGGCTCAATGTTGACGATAGGCCCAATCGTATTGGCAATCAAGATCACCGTATCTTGGCAATGCCCAGAAATCGCAAACTGAGCAACCCAAAACAAGGCCCAAAAGGCGATGAAATGCAACTTGCGGCCCGGTGTCTGGCCGAGTTGTGCCCGAGAATCCGGATGGTGATCGGAATCTGCAGCGTTCCTATCACTTGCGAAGTGAGCGTGAAGGTGAGGACCTCAGAGCAACAGCGGGCGCTTCGCAACTAGCTGCTAGCTGCTGCATGGCGATCATGATTCACAGCCATGAAGATCTCCAAACTGTCCTGAGCCCTGATTGCGTTCGCTGAGGGCCTGTCGCTGCCAAGCTACGTGGGAGGAAGCCGGAGGCACTGATCCGAAGGACTGATCCGGCTCAAACTCTGCAATGGACCTCCTCAGAGTCAAAGCAGGATAAGCGAAGAACTAAACAAAAGACAATGAAATAGACGCCCGCATCACATCTTTTCATGTCCTAAACCTTCTTGTCCCATGATGTCATATCATGTAATGAGCTTTGTCTCGATCTTTACTGTAGCGTAGCCACCAAGCTTCGTCGAATCGTCCTGGGGCATGATCTGAAACTTTGCTGGCAAGGCTGAGGTGTTGTTCAGCACCTGGGACATGCTCCGGCGCAAGTCAAAAGAGCAACTCTCGCGAAACATGCCCCAACAGCGAGCTATCTTTCTGGCCCGGATTTTGCTCAGGCCGCTGTTTCGATGCGAGCCCTGAAGCTTATAACTCATATCTCTTGCCTACACAGCCCCACGAGTCAGTCTTAAACGTCCTAAACAGCCTGAACACGGCCAAGTCTGGCCGGAAGTTCGACGCTTGCCCCTGCACTGGAATGCTGCCAAAGCAGCCAAGGTCTGGTGCGAGGGGTATCGGATGAAGATGTCACCTTTCTCTTCCATTCATGGTACGGGGTCAGCTTCAGTGCTTTTTCTCCCAGTGAGCTCAAAGTGCCGATTTTGATTGGTGGCGAGGCCCGGTCCTATCCAGTCCGACCAGCCGAAGCTACGAACGATACGTCCTCAACTCACCTGCCTTGCAAAGCATCCGCGGACACAACTGAGGCCAGGCGCCAAGCGCGACAAAGCGACCAAGCGAGCGAGGCTCGAAAGCCCGACTCTCAACGTGGATATATCCCGATATCCCCCCCACGCAGTCTACATCCAGGAGGCCTAGACTCTGGAAGCCCCTCTTCTCGTTCCCTACACCGCTTCAACACCCCATGCATCCTATCCGAGGAGCCGTACTCCAGGTGTTCCGAAGGCTCCAGGGCCACTTGCGGTACTGCACATCGCGCTTGGATTGGGATGCTCGCCAACTCCTGAGTTATAACAGTATGTTTCTACAAATACTTGCAGTGATAACAAAAATCATGATAAGAAGAATCCTAAAAGCAATCAGAATCAAATTAAAAGCCGAAGACCCTGTGGGAGGGACTCGACTGCTGAGCTCCAGCTCAAGCCACCACAACACAGTACTCTAGCTGGTTGGCCTTTAAAAGGTGGCTTTTCTGTTTCCTTCTGCTCTGCCAGGGGTACTTATTCAGCAGTTCTTACTTTGTGATGATCACGGAGTCCAAGGTCATTTTCGCCAGATCCTACGATTCAGAATCTATACTCCTTGCGGGCACTTCGAGGTACCCTATTTGCGCCCTTTCAACTCAGACTCGCCAAATGAGGTCTGTCAGCTCGCGGCGGTACAGTAAGACTTTGCTTAGTGATCACGGTGGCATTGCGGCGGCTATCTTACTATTCGTTCTTTGCGGAAACTTACACGATAGCTCTGCTTCGGTGGGGGTATCATAGTAGCGCCTCACGGCGAAGCTTGCAACTAGACTGAATTGAATGAACGTCCGGCGAAGCATTGTGAGACTATGGACGTGGGCGACCAGGACTCATCCTGCTGCCACTAGGTCATGACCGATATCGCTTGTTGACAATTGTTGGTGTTGGCTGGTTCGTCTTGTTTTTCATGTGGTCATAACTGCTAATCTGTACTGGCTTGATTCACTGCTGTGGTTTTGCATAGGTTAGCTTGTGTCGAGAAGTACTGCGATGGCATGTGCAGGTCTCCGTGCGACCAGATGCTGTTCAGGCACCTGTCCGACACCGTCGAGATCCACCACTAAACAAAGATCGTACGACTTGACGTTGAGGCCTGGTTTGGAGACGCAGAGACATGCAAGCGAAACTCAGCACGGTCGTCCCTTGTCTGGTCGTCTCAGAGGCTCACTAACGAAGTCGATTTGGATCTTCTGAGAGCAATTCGGCAACAGAGTGCCCTTCGGTGGTATCACATCGAACTCACCTCAGCTTTGTCACTCACACACGAAAGGCAGGCCCGGGTCAGTATAGCGCAGCCCGTTGAGCATGTCAAGGAACCCGGCAAACTTGAACAAACTCCAGGCCAAGCGTCGTTGGTTACTTCGCCCATCCCCCGGAATGCGCAGAGCGAACCGCATCGGAACCTGGGCAACTTTTAGCATTAAGACAATCCGTTGCCCGTCCCTGCTGCCATGATCCCGCTGGTAGATCTGTGGCTCATGGCCACAAGGGCTTCAGATCCAAATTTTTGTTGTTGCTCTTGCTGTTGCTGCTCTCCTTCTTGGCTTATTGCCATGGCTGTCCTCGTCGTCATTGCTTCATCGTCTCCAGGTCTTCAAATGTTCCCCATGTTTGCAGCACTTTGCCATTGCTCTTCTCTTCATCATCCCCCGTCTTACTGTCTCGTTGCTTCGGGGGAGCCTCTGAGGTATTCGTGAGCGTGAGCGTCTTGGAGTTGAGAAAGCCGTAGCTGACTACACCAAAAGAGATGCGGTCCAAGTCGAAGTGGAAAGTGGGAGAGACCTGAGGGCTTGCCAGGAGAGAAAAAGCGCAAGCAATGGCTGCGATCTCTTGATGACCCACGTGGCGGGCACAATAGGCACCATCCCGAGCTAAGATTCAGAGTCGTATCCAGGCTATCCACCGATTGTGAGATCTGATGGCTTTTGCTTCACTACACGTGCTCTAGCATCGCATCACTCCATGCCGAGGGAATCGGCATGAATCCGGCCATCGGCAGTCAACACAAGGTTCGATGGAGAAGCCGAGAAGCGGAATGGCCCCGAAAGCCCAGTGCTATCTTGGAGGTGCTTCCTTGCCATGCACAGTTTGGCAATGCAAAAAGCACTGCAGCAAGCTTCCCGACAAAGTTGGTTTCCTTTATTTTCTTGTTTGTCACTTTGGCACATGCACGTTCCCCAGCTGTAGGTCACACTCCATGTCAAAATTACAGGTTTAGGCAGTCGCTTCGCACAGTGCGCTCGGTCGCTGTATCGGCAAGCTTTTTTCAGGCCATGGGGCCTACCAGCTCCCAGTAGAATGTTTCCTGGAACTCCCCGAGAAGATCCGGGCCTTTGGCGAACAGTGCAGAGTAAGAGTGCCCGGAAAATCCACTCTTGCCTTGGGAGCTCGCTCTAAGACTGTTGTGCAGCGCCGGACTCAGGCGCCTGCACACCTCAACCACGATGGTGCACTGGCCTGCATTGGCTCCACAGCTTGCAACGCTGCCCGATGCAACCTAAACCCTAAACCCTAAGGCTCCAGTGCAGATTAGCCGCCACCAACTTCCAAGCGGCCATCACTTGGCGTGAAGGCAAACTTCGAGCCAAAAGGCGAGGTGTTCGGCACCTCAGGGACGAAGGACCCGAGGACCCCCAAACCTCTCGGTGTCGGACATCCGTGCCAAATGCCACTGTCCCGCAAAGTTAAGGTGCGAACCAGCCGGAACTCTACATCCTCAGCAGTCACGCAAGCCGCGGCTCACAAAGACATGTCGCCCAAGCACTACCAAGCTGCAATGTCGCCTTGATTGATCAAGTTGACCTCGTTTTAGCTGTGGTGGGATACATGTGGCATCGAAGAGGAATGCCCATCCAACTGTCCCGTGCCTCGTACTGGTGGACAGACTCCACAAAAATGTCGCCAACATCTAGCTCATCATAGGAGAAGGCAGCCTTGGGCCCAATCCCAATTCCTTGGCTCACGTCAACGTTACCAGGGCCTGTTCCGCTCTTGCACGCGCACGCGAGAGCGCGAAGGAGCGGAGAGGCCAAGGGTCCCTTGAGTAAGAGCGGCAAGCGCTCAGCGCGACCGACAATGGAACAATAAGCCAGGCATTGGTAGTTCAGAGCCGCCTTCCAGAATGGCAGGCAGATTTCAGGCTTCAAGCAGTCGTGACGCAACCGGTGCTTGGGATGGGTTCTCGGTTCTCGCATGCAGGACAGTACCGACACAAATACATGCAGATGATGCGGAAGCTCGAAGACGCTGAACCAGCAGCCAACAAACATGCGGCATCGCACATACGTGCAAAACAGCGGGCCCCATGTCTGGAAAAGCATGCCCATGACACATCATGCTGTTCATAACCCCGGCACCCGGGAACCTTCGGCGTGAAAGTGAAGGTGATGGCCACCTTGGACTTCGCCCAAATACGGCCGGACAGCGGCTCAACCGCAAAAATCTCGTCGTAGAAAAACATTGGGTCCTTCAAGCAGTTCCGGAACGGAGCAACTGCATCAAGAGGCGCTGTCGTACTGGGGTCCCAAAACGAGCGTCCTCCAGAATCGCCTTCGCGATGTTTTTGTATCCTCGGAATATCTCGGCTTGATCGCAGGTGTGAGCCTGTGAGCAGCCCTGCAAAGAGTTGAAGCAAGCGACGTCTTTGAAGCGCCCCATGTGCCAGCTCCACGCCCTTCAGCCTGCAGATGTCTGCAGATGTCTGCCGGTGTCTGCAGGCGTCTGCGAGACGAAAATCCCGGAGATTCTAAGCACCCTGCGAGGAGCACTTGGTCATGTACTCGTCTGAAGACTCGGAAAGCTGAGACTCCTCGTCGGAGTCTTCGCCTGAAGCTTCTTCGGTTCGCTCTCGAAGAGTCGAAGAGTGAAGGAGGAATGATTCCATCCGAGTGGCCCATGGAGCTCAACTCCTGCAGCGCTGCTGCCTCGTCACTCTCCTCCTGCTTGAGCTGGACCTGCGTTGCGCACTGCTGGACAGCCCTGATGCCCCTGACATCTCTTGACGTCTTGGGACACCTGAACTCGTGTTCTCGAGCCTGGAGCTTGAGCTTCTGGCCAATCTCCTGGGGAAGGGAAGACACATGGGAGAGCCGGCGTTACTCAAGTCTCCAACCGCTTTTCCCCAGCAAGGTCCTCCTGTATAGAAGGGAAAGCCCGCCAGCTAAAGTCCACAGGGATCTCCGAGTTGTTGTGGATGACAATTGCTTTCTGGGTTGAAAGCGCCTCAGCCCGCAGCTGACAACTGCCATGCAGTTGAACGGGACCTTGACAAGGCATCCCACCAATGTCTCAGGGCAAAAACAAGGCACAATGAAAGTGTCTTCCATCTGAAGCTGATTGGCCTCAGTTGGCAGCATAGTGCAGAGTGACACATAGAACGCGGTTGCAGTGCCGCTGTACTGTACTGTACTTCCCGTGCGAAAAAGCCGGGCGGCCGAGAAGGTCACAGACACGTTCCTGAAGTAAAATCATGTACTTCATGCAGTCTCTGTTTGTTGAAGGGTGTTGCCACTTCGCAGCATGAGAAACTCTCAGGACTCTCTGTGCACCTACATTGCACGGGCTTGCAAAGGAAGCTGCTCTGCTTGCCCCTTCAGGGCCATATAAGCCTCAATTCCATCGCCATAAAGAATGAGCAAGTCTCGCCTGGGCACACAGGCATTCTTTTTTGCAGGGCAAACGAGCACCGCTTGCGGGGGCTGGGCTCGTACTGCTCAGCTTTGTCAGGTCTGAACACAACGTCCACCTGCGGACATATGCTGACATATATGCGACAATGCGGCTGCAGCTGTCCCTTGCACACCCGCCTGCATAATCTCGCCAACCTCCAAGTACCCATCCTGGATTGATGTGCTGAAAGGTGGTGGCACCTCGACTCAGGCATCCGAAAGCTGCCTGTCCATACTCTCCACATGACGTGGCTTCAGTGGTCGACCTTCAGCAAGAACTTGGTGGCCTTTTCGCCCACGTTCCGGACCTGACGCTACGTGCAAGCACCCAGTTTCGTCAGAATAAGTGCTCTTGCAGGGGCCCCAGCCATGATGGTCTTGGGCGACTCAAACTTCACCGGCGACACGCCGAAGTCCAGCTCGTCAGGCATGTCGAGCAAGGCACTACACCCGGTCGCCCGGATGGGAACGATGAAGCGCTCCCGCCTCGGAGAAGACAAGCGCAGCGGAGCCCGACGTCTAAAGGGAGACACTTTTCCAAGACAAGAAGCTCTGTCACAACGACGAGGTCGTAGGAGTAGTCCTCAACCTCTCGGTCTTGAACAGGCCCCAAGACGACCAAGTCTCATCTTGCAAATGCGCCTGCTGATCCGGGGTAAAGCGTACCTTACCCACATCATGCGCAACCATGCAAGCATTCTCTCAGACGACATCCGCACGCCTTGGGTGCAAGCAAGGCACTGTGTACGAAACCTCCATCCCTGGTGCGACCTAGCAAGATGACCAGCACTCACACTCCCTCTGAGCGACTTCCTTCGGCTCTGACCTTGTTGTCGCCATCTCCGTTGATTTTGCGGCCTTTGCCTGGCAAAACCTTGAAGAAGGTGCTATCTGGTTGCCTTAGGCCGCAGATTCGCGCCAGGTGCAGGCAGGCACTTCTTCGATGCTACCGAGATGCAGGATCTTGACCTTGAGAACCAGGCGTTCTAGCATAAGCTTTCGTGGCTTGACGGAAATCACTGAACGATTGGGTGGGAAACCCTTCGGGCCACGTTGTCTTGATTGCGCAAGCAGAGGGTGGCGTCCAGGTTCTGCAAGCTTTCCTGGACTTCGCTGACGACGGCTGTTGCAACACACAGGTCGTAGTGCAAAAGGCATCATGTTCCACTGCATTTCCGTATGGCAGCGCTGGACCGAGCGGCAAAGTTTGCGAACCGAATCTCCGGCGGAGTTGCCTTGAAAAGTGGCTCTTCCACCGGGACGACCGAATCCACCTACAGGCACTCTTATTGCACTCCGGCATGAAGTCTCTCGGGAGCATCCAGTAGATAAGAATGCGGCCTGGTGGGTGTAGTCTCCCATATCCTGAAACGACACTATCCGGCACGTCATGTTGTCCTCCAAGGGCGTGTGCAAAGGAACCTGTAAAATTCTCCAGCTACTCGTGCCCGTCAGTCCAGCTGACTGCGAGATGGAGCCGTGAGGCCACCCGGCTGCCGCGCTGCCGCGATGACCTGATCATGCAAGGGACCCCACACATGCCGCAAGTAGTGCCAGCCTGAAGTTTATCTACTGAATCTCCTGGCATACGAGTCCGGCAGACTGGGGAGTAACCGGGAAGTCATGAGCACAGCCTCGCTCGGCTTTCGCTTCAAGCAGGATGATGAAGACGCCGGGGCTAGGGTACCTTGCCATCGTGGGTCGCTATACACCTTGCTCATCGTCGCTTCTCTGCGGCCAAGCTTCTACTTCCCAGCTGCAACATCTTTGAAGGTGGAACTCTGTCGCTGGAGGTACCCCTGGTGCAGGCACCGTTCAGAAGACACAGGGGGTGTTGGATTCTCTTGCACCCCTGGCCTAGCGCTAAGAGGTGCGCCTGAGCTGCCGCATCGTGGCGGATGGATGCAAGGAAGGTGACTGACTACCACGTGCTCGTTGAGGCAGCAACCATAGCCGGACAGGGGTATTCGCTTTGGGGTGGGACCCCGAGCGCTTTGCGCACCAGATCTCGACCCCTGACTCTGCAGGGTAGACATGCTATGTTACCTCGGCGCAGCGAAACGAGACACAACAGTACCACACCGTTACACTCTCACCACTCTAGCCTTGAAACCGTTTCGAGCCCTCGTCAGGGCCCGGCACGCAGCCCGCCAGATTTTATGCGGGCCGCTCGGGGCATACAGGTTGAGCTCTCCGGCTCTCCCGGGCCCCTAAAAGTTTGATCCTGTGACGGCCACGGAAAGAAAGACTTCCGTCGGACTCTCGCTTCTTCCACAGAGCCAAAGTGCTGTCTCTCTCTCTCTCTCTCCTGCCACCCCTCTCAAGTCAAGGCAAGCTGAGCCCTGGAGACGGACCCCCTGGCTCTGTCGCGCATCCAGCCACAGCTGACCTCACCGGCATGCGCACGACGACTCATTTGCCATGACAATCCTCGATTGCCTCGCGCTCGTCTCTGGCACCCGAGCCTGCACAGTACGACCAACATCATTAAGTAACTAAGTCCGCCGGCTCTTCATCTTCACTCGCTCGAAGAAGCTCGACCGATTTAGGCTTCGACAAAACCGTGTGCAAACGCAGCTCACGCGACAATAGCTTTTGGCGCGCACACGCAGTGCACAATCTACTTGCAAACTTGCAGATTCTGCAAAAAGGCCAGCCGAATTGGAGCACGATTACAAGCCTACATGTGACCCGCGAATTGGAGCACAATTACAAGCCTACACGCGGCCCAGTGCTTCAGAGAAACGTCTGCTGTGCCAATAGCTTTTTATGTCTTTTCATCGCCTGGAGGCCCATGATCATGGCTAGCCAGGGATGTTTTGAATTGTAATTATGCAGGGAGTCTTTCGTCCTTGCAGATGCATCCGCATCATCCGCTCAGGAGGCATCAAAACTCAGCTCCGACAATGCCAGCTCTCTCAGGTTGGCTCCGCCTCCGAAGGCCTTCGTGGTGGTGCTGACCGGCTAGGGCAGGGCTGCTAGGGGCTTCACGAATCCCAGTGCCCATGAGATCCCAGGAGCCTTGAGTAAGCCATACTGAATGGAAGCGACAACTGCAGCCAAAGGCAGCCCACGGACGGACTCTGACACCAAGAACTGCAAGAAGAGGTGCTGCACATAGCCTCTACACGCACAAGGCGACGATCAACGGCCTCTTGTCCGACTTTCCCATTGCAGCTGGGAAGCCGCAGCGATGCTTCGAGAGGACGTCCGTCAGTGGGTAAATAACACAGGCCGCCACGACAGCTGCAGCAAGTCCGAGCGAACTCGCCTGAAACGCATGGGGGGTGGGGAAGAACATTGTACTGTGACTGTGCTACGACTTGGTGGTAGCAGTCTTCCATACTCGACATGCAGCATGGTGCAGTTGGCCGATCATCCCTTGTGCTGGCCTTGGTTCTCCACCTGCGCTGGACACGCGAAGCCGCCAAGCTGCACCGGAAGATGCTCAGCGCGAGGATCCGCAAAACCGTCTCCATGAGCATGGATAGACTGGAGATCAGCATGACACCTGCGAGCCGAATCGGCCCCAACTCAAGCACGCGCACGGGACTTTGGCCTCTACTACTGCTGCCCACGGCCGCCTGCCATGCTCGGGGCCTCCCCATCTCCGGACCCGTTGTCCGTCAGGGACCCTGCGCCCACCCTCACGCTGCTTCGGTCCCACTCGCCGAAGACATCGCCATACAGGGTGGACACGAAGAGCGTCAACCCCCAGCTGACAACCAGGACCTTACCATCTAAAGAGCTGAGAAAAAACGAGACTCTCCAACAAATCGCTGGCGAGTGGCGAGGCAACGGAAGCCGAAAGTCAGGGGATCGTTGCACCAGGGATTCCACGGGTAGGTCACGATGCAGGCGTGCAGAATCCACGCTCTCCACGACTCCAGGGACGCTTGACTGCAGCTACGAGTACCCGCCCACCGTCCCAAGCAGAATTGCTTAAAAGACATATGGAGACATTAATGTTCACGACATTGCTCACAGATTTCATCCGCCGTCCTCAGCAGGCTTTGGCGGCCTCTTGCACTGTAGCAGATGCGGTGCCCAGGCTTCATCCCAAGGGCGGGCATCCCCGGTGCCTTCACCAGAGCCCTCGCGCTCATCTCGGGCCAGGGATCGGCTGAGAAGGAAGCCGCAGCACAAGAGCCTCGACGAATCCCAAGCTTCAGGTTTCAACACTATGATGGGCAACGGCCTTGTCAGGAAATCATGGATTCGACCGGGCGGCGAAGCTGCCGCCACTGCTGCGGCCACGAAATCCGTCGGCTTCAGGAAACACTCCTCCATGCAGGACTCCACGCCGAACAGGGTCTCCACGAACTCCAACTGCACGCCCACTTGCCCGTCCTTCCACATCCCCGCACTCTCGTACAATCTCTGTGCCTACAACTGCCTAAACTGCAAGAAATGGCCGTCCTTGTTGCTGACAATGAGCAACGTCTCGTTCCCTCCCAGTGGCTGGTAGAGGTGGAAGTCAGGGCACTGCTTGCAAGCAGGCTCCACCTAAAAGGGATCTGCACAGCTTCTGCACAGCACCGGCTGCAGAGGCGCACACAAGAGCAAAAGCACCCAGCCTCCTGGATCCATCGCTGCCAGTGCAGCTCTGCCCGGGATCCTGAAACCACGTAGAAATCCAGCAGCGTTTTTTCCTGTCACTGCGCACGGCACAAACTTAAAGAGGAATCTGCACCCGGCACTGGGGCAGAATCTCAGTGCCTTCGATGTGACATTGAACTGAACAGCACCCGGCGCCTGCCATCGGTTCGTGTCACAAAATGCTCTTCCCTATCTGGGCAGGGAAGGACGCCTCTTGTTAAAAACGGCACAGGCGCCTGCCAGCTCCATCGGGCCAGGTGTCCTGCTATACATCTCTCACCACAAAGGAGAGCCCCTGGCATGTCCGAGGGCGCCTGGGGGAAGGGGGCGCGAGGCCGGCTTGAGACGCACGTCGATCAAAGCCCAGGCGTGGGACGGGAAGGCCATGGCCATCACGAGGCCAAGCACCGCCATGGCTCCTTTTGCCAATGTTGCCTCCCTTTGTTGCTGACAAGTACGTCTGACTGCTCATGCGGCTCCGTGCTCACAAGGGAAGGCCAGTCTCGCCTTGCTGATTCAGACCCTGCTTGAAGAAGCTTGTGGAGAACGTCGAAGTGAATTCAAGAGCGAAGGTAGGCAGTGCGAAAGCAGTTAAAGCAATCGCCTTCGTCGGGGAATCTCGGCACCGCAGAATCCTTGGGAAATAGGCAGCAGGGCCTCGCACGGCAGGACACTGATGCTGTCAGGATAAACAAGTGCTCAAAGGAGCCCTCAGCATGGCCTCCAACCACCAGAAGGAGAACACAAGCCACAACGAACCTGACGTGGCTTATGCACTTCTCCACACTAGCCTGCGGCTTTGTTTGCCTCCTGCACCGCTCCAGCTCCCGTCGTCTAACAACCTCGCAACCTCTGCTGCGGCTACTTCCAAGCAAGGCGCCTGACTTGTAAGCGTCACGGCTCTCATCCTTTTCTTGCTAGCCGGCTCTACAGCCAATGAGTGTCTCAGTTTTTGGCGAGTGTTCGCATGATGGCAGCCACACGGCCCACAGGACAGTGCAACATTTACCTGTAGGTCCAGCGCTACGCTGCGGAAGCCGAAACCCGGGTTTTTGCCCAGGAATGCCCGCGCCGAACGAACCGCACCACTTTTCCTGAACTTCGCTCTGAAGCTGCTCTTCTAGCTGCTTCAGGGGTGGGGACCCCTCAGCTCTGGGTCTCGGGTGACCACAGGATAAGGGAATCATCGTAGGACCACGTTCCGCTGCTTTCGGCATTATTGCTCGGGCGAACCCAGGTGGCCAAGGAATGCTGGAAGGCAGCGAAGCTCGCTCTGTTGTTCTAGCTCATTGCTTCCAAAACGTCTTGGGCAGGAAAGGATGCTTCAACAAGTTGGCATTAGATGGTTGCTCGGTCGCGCAGCTTGGAAGATATGCCCCAAAGCGTTGCCATGGTTTTTGAGAGGAAAACCAAATAAAATTCGGCCCACGCTGGTCCACTGCATCAACTTTTCCTAACTGCGGTAGCTGTCCATCACTGCGTATGCGTTGCAAAGTTGGCACACACGGATGCTGTTCCAGTGAGGATGCCCGACAGGCAATCCATGGCAAGTTGCACGTCTGTCAGCCATAGCTTGCCAAAATGCTGATTTGCCTTGCATCGAATCATTACTCGCGGGCTACCATAGCAGTCGTTCGCATTCGTTGCACACTGCTATACACTGGAGTTGCAATTTCTCAAAGTGGCCTCCTGAAAAGCAGGCAGAGTCCACAATTGCAGGTAAAGGGTCCCAATGGCATAGGGAAAGTTTTTCTTTCCCACATACATACCCTAAATGAGCTGGCCAGTGTGCCAAGCAACTGGACCAGCTTGTCTTTCTGTGGAATGATTCTTCTGAAGCTCGCATGCCGCACAGTATAATTATCTCAAGGCCAGGCTAGCTGTAGAAAAATGGATTTTCACGCAAGGTTGTCGAGATATTCACGTGAGCCTACCACGGACATGGCATCAGCTCGTGCTTGCTCTTCACTGACAGTGGCTTTCGCATTTCAATCGGGCTGAGGCTTTTTGAACACTTGTTTTGAAAAGTTTTGAATCCATGCAGCTCCATAGAAGCCACATCGAAAACGGCCACACGCCCAGCCTCTGCCAACGGCTGGCGTATGCCCCATCTGCGACCGTTGCTGGAAAGTTGGAAAGTGAACCTCTAAAGTCCACCGTTGTGCGTGCATAAGGCCAGCATCGGGATTGGTAATAGAGGTCGGACGTCTGCAATTGAGGATGCGCGCGGCTTCGTTGCTGCTGGCTTGTACATGGCTTTCACTTGAAGCACTATGTTCCACATGTTGTCCTTCTGCAGAAGAAGGCGGCAGAACCGGAAAGAGACACATGGAACTCATGGAACACCTGCGCCAGCAAGTAGTGCATCTCTGCATGTAGACCTGGATCTACGGGTACATCTGGGGGTTGCTGACAACCAACAGTTGCACAAATCAGAGTCAACCCTCCGCAGCTAGCAAGACACCACAAGCCTGTGGCAAAACTGATTTTCCACTCCTTGCCGCAACATCTCGTCGATCGTGGCCCCAGCCTGAGCACTTGTCTGGCAAGGTTAGAACTGTCGAGTTGTTCCCCCGAATCATCCGCGAAGATCTGCGCCGTCTTATGCAAGAACCCCAGCCCGACGACAGTGCCCGATTCGAGGCTAACGCTGCACCGGCAGCGAGCAGCTCCTGAAGATCACACCTTGCATCGAAGAGCCAGCATACAAATGACACCGATTGACATGCGCCGAGGCCTTCTGGGCACCTGTGACAGGTCCGATCGCACCCGATTGTGTGCCTGCAACATTGCAACTTCGTCGGTCTTGGGCTCATTCGTTTCGTCCTCTGTCCATGGCCTCGCACCACCACAGGACGTAATCGTTCCGACATTGGAAACCTCCACGAAAACACGAGCCAACTTGATTCGAAATGTGTCGTCAAGACCACAGGCTTGCTGCTGAATGATAGGGCCATCACGCGGCGGCAAGCCTCGACAAACATGGATGAACTCCTGGACGGGTGGAGCATGCGAAGCAAGGAAGGCTGACTGCAGAGGTGCCAATGCATCGCCATGCATGGAAACACGGAAACACACACGGGTGGGTCCGACATACAAGCGCAGCATAAACCGAAAACATCCGAGTACTGGGATGGGAGAGCTGTTGTCATCTACATGCTGTGCCTAACAGAATCATGACATATGCTTCATTCACGAGAACACAGCGCAACTTCATTAAGCGCAATGTAGCTCTCCTCGGCACAAAGGTGGCATGGGTACAGTCTCAGAAATGCTCGCAACCATGCAAGGGCTGCGACCTGGGTGGGCCGATGTGTCGACATGCCATGGTAAGGTGCACTAACAGGAACCTGTTCCGCGACATCCGGGCTGCATGGAAAGCTTGCAGCCATGGCATGCACGTAGCGCCACGCGGCTCGCCTGCACAGACGCGCAAGCCACATGAATTCCAAGGCTCGCCGCACGCACCCTATCTGCTCACGATTCGGCGGCCGCGATGTGCTGCTCTGCGCAGCCTCCGCAAGAACAGCTGGGAGTGCCATGCGACAATCATGCTACCCCAACCACAACCACGACCACCTGGCATGCCGCACATTCTCCATCCCGATCTTTCTGACGTGTGAGCCATCCGCCTGTGCTGGAGCGAGATTTCCACGCCGTGTACCGGTTGCTCATTGCCCGCCTACTGCAGCACCCATCTGGACAGGCAAACACGTCCTCCCAGAAGCTACTGCAACACGCTTGAAAGTTATTCTGCTGAACAGCAAAAAACCATTCCAAGTCCAGTCGCTCCACACAACGAAACCACGCCACGTCACTACATATGAGAACTGCAGCAGTCTTTTCGGATGAGCATTTTACTTTATGGACTTGTTTCCACAGTTGGATAGGCGACCATGTCCTACCCCCGCTACGGGCAGACTGAGGCGCGGCTCGGCTGCGGCCCGGCTTGGGCCCGGCTTGACAACGAGCGAAGAGCTCTATGTTCCGGTGTGTTGGATGTTGGAACGTCATGACGATCGATCTTGTGGTCAGAATGTCGCCGCATGTCCCCGTCGGGCAGCTGCATAGCACCCACACGTCAACATTTGGCTGGAGCAAAGGGTGGAAACGAATTGACCGTGCGTGCGATTCCTCCTTCATGCGCTCGCTTTGTCGGTGCTAGCTCCTGCTGGCGGCGGCCGTGTTCCCACATATGGCATGACGACGCAGGCAGCCGCATCTCGCCACGCAGGCCAACATGGGAGAAGTGCGACCCACCCATGCCTGCCCGGCACCGCTCAGCATAGCACACGCCCACCTGAATGCGTTCGATGTCTGGGTCGTTCCAATTTCTGCGTGTTTCCAGTCATCGTCCTTCGCATTGCGAACGTGCCTGCACGCTATTATGTGGTGTTCAATCGCGTTCATGAAGGGTGTTGTTGCTTGGATGACCAACAGCATATCGCACCACGACGCCAGGTATTCGGCGAAGCGCTTGTTGCTGTTGCTGCTGCTGCTACTGCTAATGCATGAACGGTTCGGGAGACCCTTCACTTTGCGTTGGTCCGCCTTGCTCGCCTTCTCTGCCGCCAGAGCCTTCGGTGCCAGTCTCCTTGCTCTTTGCCTCCCCGGCACCGCCAATGTTGATGGCGACCAACCCCTGCTCAGCAAGGTCCTTGCCTCCTCCCGCTTCGACGAAGCTCCGCCTGTTGCCAGCCGTCTTCCCCCGCGTCCGTGAGCGTGGAGGATGCTGACCTCGCAAAAAACTG